AAATGTTTTGACACCTAAAACCCGCTAAACACTCAAAACTAAACCCTAATAGAACATAATTAACCCAAACATAAATAATATAAAAAAAAAATAATTTTGAAAAGGTGGCATATTTGTAAAGATTTCAAAAGTGTGACATTTTTGTAAAGTGACATTTGAAAAGTGACATTTTTGAAATTTCTCTAAAATCATACCAAATATGCACTAGTGCATGAAATTGTCTAAAGACAAATGTTTTCTAGTTTTTTTTTGTTTTTTTATAACTGGGAGATTTCGGACTCAATCTCAAACAAATTTGGAGCATTGAGAGTATTCTTGTCATTAATTAAAACAACCACAATATCTAATCATGATCGAAATTGTAATGAGATGATTCAAAATCTGTTCCTCCAACCACATGATAAATCTTCCAATCACTAGACTATTATTTCGTACTTTTAGAATATCCACATAAATTGGTATATTTAATGGCCATGTTCGATCTAGGATAAGAAAGGAGAGAGTTGGTGGACATCGAAAGGATTGTTCTTCACATGTTGTCCCAATAATTAATCCAGAAATTTAAATTGATCTACCAAATCAATCATCCACCACCCATATTGGAGCTAGTCCATAATACTATTGTGATTATGACCCTAATTTGGAAAATTCCTTCTAAATTCTTATGTCTTATCAACTATTCGATTTGGACCGTTCGAATAGTCTATGCACTTACACTCACGTCAATTTATTTAAACAATTGTGACTTGTCATAGACTTTTCAGTCAACGTTCATATTCAAATATGGAGTATTACGACAATCTGTTGTAACTTGTTCAATTCGGTGATGTGATAGCGAAATCTAGCAAGTATAAAATTTAAACATAATTCATAACATATATGAAGATGTCGACTGCAGGCAAATTAGATGATGTCCATATCAATGCCATGTTATATAGCACGCGGGTGGTATTGACGTTTATATGAAGGTGACATTGAACAATAACCGATCTATTTAAATGGAAATAGAGGGAAAGTATTAATTTCGGTTAACTCCACATCGGCTATGAGTATAAGCTAACTCACCTAATTCAATCACAAGATATATAGAGGTGAATGCCTGATTGGTATACCACTTTTTCACGTTATCAAATTGTATTGCTATTTGACCTAGAAAGTTTCATAATTTATTTTGTATATATATATATACTTGTAATATTTAAGTAATTGATAAAAAAGTGTGTTACTGAGTGACGAGGTAACTCATACTAACAAATTGATAAAGAATTCGCTTATATATATGAACGTTAGTTCATATATATAGACGAATTCTTTACGACTAGTTTAAGTACTGTGTAACCATCACATGTATCATGAATAGATAATCACTAACCAATTTGAATAAGAGTTTTCTCGGATACCTATAATAAGATTTATATCCGCACATCAAAAGTCTGGAAAGAAGGAACGGAAAATGGATATGTGTTCGAGTCTCAAAGAATTTTACTTTGACTCGTTAGTCGACATTATCTTTTTATTTGCCAATTATCGGGAAAAAGAAAAGGTAATAAGACTTGATAGATTTAGGGTATCAGATTCTTCTCTTCTTACCACAAACGAATCAAGGTAAAAGGTTTTGAGCTTCACCAACCTTTCTACATATATATGTTTTTTTTTGGGTTGATAATCGTATATATATTTTCGTGTGCTTCTCTTAAGAGATTCTGA